AGGTGTGCGTGCTGAGGAGTGTGTGCGACAGTGGCAGAGGTCTGCAAGTCAGCAGCAGGCAGGACACCGAAGATGAGGACACACTCAGCTTCACTCTGCCCTGACAGTGGAGCACCTGAGAGCCAAAATAAAACAGCGTAAGAAACCAGCATCCGGGTTATAAGGGTTTACAGTTCCGCTCTTACCTTCCAGGTGGTTGACTTGAGGTTGCCGATTCTTCCTCTGTGCGTCAAAGCGCTTTTTATCCTCATGACAAAGTCCCTCTTCAGACTGAACCCAAGTTCTTTAGAGACACAAAGGTTCAAATAAGTTAGTTTCATCAAAATTAAAGTGATATATTCCAGATAGAGGGAAATATTTTAAGCACTTATTTCTGGTATTTTTGAGGATGACAGTTTACAGCCAACGACAATCCAGAAAAATAAGCTTTTTAGAAAGGTTAAAATAATTTGAGACCAACAAAGACCGACTTTGAATCCACCAGCTGTTATGACTGCAATTATTGGTTTATTTATCTTTTTTTTCTACTGCACTTTTTGTCTTCCTCTTAATTTTCTTGGATACAGCACTCTGTAAACAGCCATTTTCTTTATGGAGGAAGCCAATGACTGTCAGCTGTCAGATCGCCTGTCTTTATCATTACTGTGCGCATGTTAACATACAGTTTTTGTGCTAAAATTCATCTTTTTATTTTATTTTCCATAATGATGCTCTTCATTAGCCTGTGACAATAGATTATCTAAGTGATTACTATATCAGTCAGTTTGTTAAATGTTTCCTGCTGTAAAATTAAAATTTCTCCCTATGAGTAAAATTTAAGGAATTATCTTGTAACTTTTTGAGAATTTTTTTTTTATTTAATGCTAGCCACAACTATTCACCATAATTTGTTTTTAAAATCAGTTACTAAACTTTTGATAACATTCTTAATGAATTTAATTGTCAGGAAGAGATCAGTAAAAACACCGACCTGCAGTCTGACGTAGATTATGTCTGATCTCCTCATGATCACATGGGTGAGTGTACTCAAAGATGTTGTGCCCCATCAGCTCAGTCTGCCATCAAACAAGAATCAAGCCTTCAAAATCAAACAGTCATTAAAAAGCTGCAGAGCATCTCGTCTGCAGACCCACCTGACTCAAGCCCATGTATTTGCTGACGTTTTCCGATAAGAAGATCATATCTCCTGCGGTGGACAGGACCATCAGGAATCCCTCCAGGATCTTCAGGTACATGTTGGTTTCATCCAAAGGAGTGAATTCCTGCTTCTGTTTCTCAAACTCAAACCGAAATCCCTCTCCTGCTTCCAATCCATGGTGGAATCTCAAGATGTTTCCGAGCTCTACTCCGGATCCTGCAGCTTCTGTTTCTACCACATAATCGAAATAATGTTGCTTGAGTTTTTACAGAGTTGTGCTTGTGTGAACAGTGCAAACAGTAAAACAAAGGATGTGGTGTGTTTTTGTGAGGTTGAGGTTCATGTAGTTTTATTCTAGGTCTGATATAATACTTCCTCTGTCTGACACCTAAGAGATTTCCTTTATTCCTTTTCATATTTGTCATATATATTACACAGGAATATATGTATATTATTCTATTTCTATTAAGTCAAAAAAAATCAGCTATGCATAAAAACTTCTTCTTGCATTTTAATTTCTGCTGACTAAAAGTTTTCATACAATTAAAGGTTGTTGAAAAGATGCTGTGATGCTGGTTAAGGTGAAAAAAAGGAGAACAACTCTGTTCACCTTTGAGAAGCGCCTGCATACGAATGTAGCTCAGGGTGAGGCGGATGACGGAAGGTTTGTCCAAGTGGGCTCTGATGGAGGGCTGAAGGGGTAGGAGGCGGGATAGATCCCCAAACACGTCGGATTCCACTCGCCGCCTACGTCGGGCTGCCTCGCGGCTAATCGCTCTGCAAAAGGCGACCAACATCCAAAAACCCTAAAGATCTACTTCAACTTTATCCTTTCATTACTTAATATTACATATAACTAAAGAATATCACAACTGATAATATTATGGTAGGGGGGAACTACTGTAGGAAAAGGAGAATAGAAAATTCAAACAGATGAAAAAACATAAATAGAACAAAAACAACTGGATAGATTTTAATAAAGAAATATAATAAGCATCAAAAATAGTAAATTCATTATAATTCCATAAATAAATAAATAACAATGAAGTGATTAATTAATCAGTTTGAAAGACCTCAAAATATTTGTGTAAAGATGATATTCAGGAAAAGCCAAAAAAAAAACACTTTATTCAAGGTTAAAAACAAAAGCTTAAAGACAGATCTAACCATTTCAATGAACTATATTTTAAAGGATTGAACTTTAAGTCATATAATAATGTTTTATTGTTTCTATATTGATAGAATTTTGGTTCTAGTTTGATAGAATTGATCAAGACTCCTGGATAGGTGTCAAAATGTCTTCGGAAAAGCGAAGCAAACATCAGGTTCCCTATGATATCAGCCTGAATAGTAAAGACTCTTAATTATAGGCACTAATTCTTTAGCTGAGTTAAATACAGTTAAACCAGAATGCTAAACAAAAACCCCCAGAATTGCCTCATTAAAAGATAAAAGACATTTTTATGACACTGTGACTTTTTGACCTTATCTGAAAAACACTAACAAGAGGATTTCTTAACACCTGAGGAAGTGAACAACACTTCTCATTTATTCAATTTCAGGCTAGTTTCATATTTTTGCCTTCTTGTTTTGATTTACTTCAGATTTTACTTCTTTTTTGTGCCCTTTACTAAATATATTTTTTTTATTACAATCTGTGTGTGCCAAATTCATCACAATCTGAGGGAAAAAAGTGAAAAATGTACCTTCTCTTCTCCTTGTCGGCTGTCATTACGTCCTCTGCTCTCCAACTGGTGGCATGCTGGGAGGTTATTGATAATGATGCCGGCAGAGGTTTCCCAGCAGCACAGACGAATTGGACGGACCAGTAGGTGGAACCTCTGCCTGCAAATAATCACGCAGGCCTCCAAACACTGAGAGATGTGATAGGTCAGCTCTCGCCAGGAAAAGCATCACCTCATTCCGCTCCGCCCTTTTCGGTATTCAACAAACTTTTTCAGCATCACACAGATTTATCTCAATAAAACTAAATAACAATAAAAAAAAAACAAAAGAAGAAAAGAGACAGAGACCTCTGGGATGGATGTAGACAGCTCAGTGTTTATTGGAATCAGACCAGACGGGGGACTAGCCCGGCTGTTGCACTACATTTTTGGCACAGAGTAAAATATAAAGAGTGACCAGGAACAGCCGTACCCCTGGGTGCACGAAGCGTCACTACACACTGACTCTACTGCACAGATAAGCAAACCGGCCCGTCTTTAGCTCACTGTACAAGAAACGCGACAAACCGTCCCTCTTTGTGTGTGCAAGTGTGGTTCAGAGAAAGAGAGAGACAGCGAAGGGGGGCAGGAAGAGGGAGCAAAGAGGAGAGTAGGTGAGAGCCGTGTGTTTGAAGTGAGAGGTATATCAGCCGCTGGTTCACCAAGTTTCCTAAAAACCGGCTGTAACAGACCTATATTGTTATAGTTATAGTAGTACACATAAAGGTTTTTATCCTCCAGATACACTTTACAATAATAATAATAATTAATATAACAATAAAAAAGAGAGCAATAAGAAAGAAAAGCTATTATGACAAAAATAAAGCAAGAGTGAGAGCAGTTTTTTTTTGGCTGAGAGGGACAGAGGAGCAAGGAAAAGAGGAAGATTGGCGAAACATTGGTTGCTATAGATACAGAAATGCAGCAAACAATAACGACTTGGAGGATATTAAAAGTTCACGCATTCATGCGCACAAAAGATGTACATTCACAATACTTGGATAAAAAAAAAAAAAGAGAGAGAGAGAAATGAGCCAACACATTCACACCGGCTGGCAGGACTCTGAAACTAAACAGACGGGTGAAAAAGCTGGACGCCAGAGTCTTTTCACTGCTACACAGGCCAACTGTAACACTCTGCTCCACATAATTAGTTCAATAGCCTGTAACATTCACTGTACATACAGCGCCTTGGAAAAGCAGGCAATGCCACCTTCCATGTTCCTGCATCCTGTCTCTGTGTGATGGAGCAACACAAAGCAGAATCACTGCTAAGCAGAACGAAATTACGAAATCTGAAAAGTGTAGCTTACATTTGTACGATTCAACCCCTTTAATCTAGTTACCCTAAATAAAATGTAGAACAGCCAAATGTTTTCAACACATATCTGTTTTCACTGTATTCATTAGACACAAATAATTCAGACTGACTGAATATGACCGAAATGTCCCTAAAACATGGTGAGGGCAGCATCATGCTGTGGGGTTTCTTACATTTAGAAGCATGGCAAAAAAAATAACCTCCTCCGATCAGATCAGATCAAATCTAATACTCCATATCGCCCTGGACGCATTGTTCCCACAGTAAAACGTGGTGATGAATGCATTATGATTGAGCTAAATGCAGAGTAATCCTACAATAAAACCTGTTTAAAGGTGTGAAAACTTTACACAGGTGTGAGGTTTCTCCTTCCAGCAGCAAGACAACCCTAAATATACTGCAGGCTTGTTCCCCTTGAGCAGAATCGTCAGCCTCTCTGTGTAAAAACATAACTTAATCTACCTGCAGCTGTGAGCGCGGAGAAATGTGCACAAATGAACAGGTAGAAAAGCATTTCGTTACGCTCCACCTCCCATTTGTGCACCTGTTTTTGTGTTGGTTTATCACACAAAAGATCTCAACAATTAAGATTGAAATTTTGTTTTGTTTTTACCTAAAAAAAACACTGATAAAGCTCAAGATGTATGATATCTTTTGCAAGGCGCTGTACAAAGGAGGGGAGGACATGATAGTCAAAAAAAGTGATAGTCAAAGCAATTTCACCCAATAATCCAACAGAAAAATACATTTTTAAAGAAAAACTAAACAAACAATAAAATACATAGATAGTCATGGTATTGCACAAAAGGGTGTTTGGCCCTAAATGGTCCACGATAAGGACAGTAATAACACAGGAAGGGTGCTTGTCCATGCGCAACAACGCCCCTTTTACTAGCAGACGATACCGACACGATACAGCCACTCGACACAGGCTATGTACAAGCCTTTACACCGCCGCTCCGAGTGTGTGTCTGTGTGTGGGGGTGTGTTTGTGCGTGTGTGAGTCGGTGCTGGTTAGAGAAGCAGTGTAAGCGTATCCATCTGTCTAAACAGTGACAAAGTGAGAATGTGTATGCGTGTGTGAGAGCGGTGTGCGTGTTCATATTTATTTTCATAGTCATATTCATTAATAAAAACCCAGGCAACAAGAACGACACAATGCAAGTAAATAATGCTCCAAAAGTAACAACAACCAAGAGCTTTAAAACGGAAAAAATAAAATAAAAGATTGACGCAGAGAGGCTTGTGTTCTGGTTCTGCTGAGTGTAAGCATGCCGGGTGTTAGCCTTATCTGATAGGAGGGTGGGTGGGTGTGTGTTTGTGTGAGTTTTAGGTCTGCGTCTCCTCGGGGGCACAGTAGGAGAAGTCCTTGAACTCCTCCTGGTTGATCTGTCGGATGATGGCCTCGTCTGTAGGCGTCAGCACCGGGTCCTCCTTGGTGAAGTCCTGGTCGAAGTTATTCACATCTCGCTTGGTTTTCTGCTCACACACACAAAAGTGAAAGAGTCAAAGTAGGAAACTTTACTGTTATCACACAAATTACACCATGGCGCCCTCTACTGATCAAAAACACTAACTGCGCTTTTAAACCAATTATTACTTTAGAATAGAAAATCCCTTTATTGTCCCATAATGGGGAAATTCTGGTGTTTACAGCAGCAAAACGATTATAGAAAAAAATAGTCAGACAAATGTGGACCTTAGAAAAATGTATAGGAATAACATAATAGTAAAGAGTTAAAAGATAAAAACTAAAATACTGTACTGTAAAGTCTTTTAACAATATAGATACCGTGCACCTGGAGAATAAATAACCGTTATACAGCTATGGACATTTTTAAAGTAATGGATATTTGAAAACAGCAGCTACACCAGTGATGTGCAAAATGACAGCAGCATGTTATTTAACTGACAAAGATATAAACTCATGGGCCAAATCAACATGAATATAACAACTTATTGAGTTTGTTGGGAACAGTGGTGGTTATAAAGTCTTACAGCTGCTGGGAGGAAGGATCTGTGATAGCGCACCCTGGTGCATTTGGGGTGCAGCAGTCTGTCACTGAAGGAGCTCTCCAGTTCAGCAACAGCTTCATGCATGGGGTGGGAGACATTACCCAACAGAGATGTTAATTTAGTTAGGATACTTTTGTTTCCCACTTCCTGCATTGAGTCCAGAGGACATCCAATCACAGAGCTGGCCTTCCTGATCAGATTATCCAGCCGCTTTTTCTCAGCTAAAGATAAGCCACTGCTCCAACAGACAGCTCCATAGAAGATGGCTGATGCCACAACAGAGACATAGAAGGTCTTAAGGAGCACCCCCTACACTCCAACATACCTCAGTCTCCTCAGCAGGAGTCTGCTCTGACCTTTCCTATACAGAGCCTCAGTGTTGTGAGTCCAGTCCAGTTTGTTATTCAGATGAACACCTAGGTACTTAGTTCCAGAAACTAAAGATATGTGACTTACTGTGATTAATGACTTGTTCTAGTAATGATGGTGGGGACACAGCATTGCTGTAGATGTATAAACAGCTTAGTAAAGACTGGTTACTGTGGAAACCTGCAGGACTTCAAGGGGTTAATGATGCTATGCATTCTAACAGAGTACCGTAAGGCACCATTGCATGAGGAACAGGCCCACAGCACCACCATCCTCCACCATGTCCACTATTGAGGATGAGGTCTCAGCAGCCTTTGGTAAAGTCACTTTATTTATTCTTGTGATGACAGGGCAGAAGGGTTTATCCTGCCATCGCTCTACAACAGATGTTTGATTCTGTAGTAGCCATTTTTAAGCAAGTAAAGGCTGGAAGTTGTGAGGAGTTAGTGTTAAATCAGATATCAGTAAAAAAAAATTTATGGGAAATATCAGAAAAACAAATGATTTTTATAAAAGCTGAAATTAAAGGTATGCCCTGAAAAAAAGTACTATGTGAAATTTCGCTTCAGCGATTAAAGAGAAATGAATGTGTACTCCGTTAGTGTAAACATTTAAGTCTGGCTGGAGATAAAAGCTGCATGTTCTTTAGGTTCTCCTGCGCCTGTTTGGTGATCCGTTGTCATTTTGTGCTGGTGTCTATTGCCCCCCTCTGGGCCTTTTGTGACAGTAGCTGGTAGAGTTTGTTTTTAACATAATTTCATCTTTAAAGACTTAGGCATACTACTGGAAGATACATGATATAATTTTAACTTTAGCACTAGACAGCAGAGGAGGGAGATCATCTCTAATACCCACTTAGATGTGATTTTGATTAATAAAGACAATAAAAGCGTATAGATCCTTTAAATGTAATTTGAAGTTTATAAACAATAATTCCATTTTTTATCGTTTTATTTTTACCAATTTAGTTTGAGTAAAACAGTAAGGGAGTTTTATAAAAGGCATGTTCTATCTGCATGAAATAACAGAGTCCTGAAGTTAGCTTCTGATTAGTCCGGATGTTTAAGATCTATTTTCAGCTTATTTTAGACTCAGATCAAATTAGAATTGTTTAAATTAAACACAAAAGCCCGGAAAGCTTTATACCAGAATTTGAAACTCTTGTTTTCAGAGGTCTACAGTACAGAATAAAAGAGAAGCAAAAATAACATGCTTTAATTTCTGTAAATATCTTCAGTTTCTCCCCCAATAAATGATCTTTATTCCTTATGTATTCTATAGTAAATTAAGGTTTCTCGTTCTTTTGTATTCATTCAGACACGAATGTCACAGCTTTGACCGAACCCTGATTTTAAGGCTTTTTTTAGATCCTAAAATAAAAACATCTATTTTAGCTCTGGTATTTTAGAGAGTATTCCTGCCTTTATGTTTCCCCACACTCTTTACCTGCAGTTATAGCTAGTCCTGTTTGAAATTGAAAAACTTGCTAGAATCTGCCGCCTTAAAACGCCTCCATGCATTCACAGCTCAAATTAATCTGTTTGTAAATGTTGGACTTTCTTACAATTCGGGGTTTAAACGGAGGTTTCACTTTTCTCTGCTCCAGCAGGACCCAGTCGATCTCCCTGAAGAAGGGGTGGGTCTTGATAGCCTCCTCGCAGCCTTGGCTCACCATGCAGCCCAGACGCTTGGCTGGGTTCTTCGTCATGAACTGAAAATAACCAACAGGTACCGACAGATAAGTCTGACATGTAGAAGACAGAAGGAAAGAAATCTACATCTATTAAACAACAAAGATGCGAGTTGGATGAAACGTACGGCTCGAAGAATGGACACCGCCTCCTTGCTGAGCCACACAGGATAGAGCACATCATCATGGAGAATTGACTCAAACAAGTCATCTTCATTATCAGCCTCGAATGGCGGCTGCCCGGCCATCATCTCATACATCAGCACCCCCAAGGCCCACCAGTCCACAGAGGCTCCGTACTCGAGTTCCTGCAGGATCTGAAACCAACAAAACAACAGTGTTGACCAACAAGGAGAATAACTGGAGGATAACCTGCTCCTCTGATCTCCAGTCCATCAGTTGAAAAGTCTCGAGCTAGTTTTTAATTGAATATTGTCACATAAACGGTAACTTAAGATATGCTTTATGAGTTTTTGGTTCGAGATTTTTTTTAATATTTTGCATTTTAAGCTATTCAGAAAATCAGGAGATCAGAAACCTCTTCAAAAATAATATAAATGACAATTACTGCCTTTTAAGAAGGCAAAGCTGATAATAGAGAAAACGACCTACACTTAAACACTAAGAGAAATCCCACGTCTCAAGTCTGGTGCCTCAGATTAGGCAGACCATCATGTCTCTATATCAATAAATGCATCACACTCTTTCTATTTTCAGCAAATGGATGGGAAGGTTTTAGGAATCTGAAGATTTTTTACTTATTTTACTTATTTATTTACTTATTTAAGGGTTTAAGAGTAAAAGGGTAACTAATTTTTCTAATTTAATTTGTTAAAAACTCTAAAGGTTATATTTTGGTTTAAGGGATTTTTCTCCCTGCTGCCTTTTGGGAAGAGATTTCGATGCATCTGATGCAGGTCCAGCAGATTCCAGAACAGCTTCTTTCGAACTGCCATTAGACTGCTGAATGTTTTAGAAAATGGGGTTTAAAAAAGCTCTAAATCATATACCGGTCTTATTTTTACATTTTATCACTGCTGCACTTCAAAACTGGAAATCACTTGAGAGCTGTACTGAATTAAATTTCTTTTTGTATACAATGTGTATACAAAATGACAATAAAGTCTGTCTACAAGTCTAAGTCTAATTCAATTTAAAAATTCAGTATTGATCTCAAAGGGAAATTAAATAATTACTATAACAATGGTTCTCAGGACAAGGTAGGAACCCTTGGCGAACTGTTGCCACGTCTAAGGAGACTTATTTGTTTTCTTGTTCTGAAGCAAAGAGGGTTTTTCTTTTTTAATACTCCTTTGTTTTCATAAGTTTGACCACCTAAGTTTGAGATTCTAGCTGACTGTAGCTCACCTCAGGAGCAATGTAGTCAGGTGTGCCGCAGAATGTGGTGGTGGTCACCCCGTTGTTGATGCCCTCCTTGCACATACCGAAGTCTGCCAGCTTGCAGTGTCCCTCTGCATCCAAGAGGATGTTATCCAACTTCAGGTCTCTGTGAGAGCAGGATGTAGATAGAGGGGGGAGGGTCAGTGCCATCTGCTTCCCCAAATGGTTTAAATCAGTCAGGGAACAGGCTAAGCAACACCATGTAGAGGTAATGTCTGCAAAGATTACTTCTTGAAACATGACTTACAGTAAGCTATTAAGATCTGTTTATAAATATATTGGTTGAGTCACGGTTGGCTTAATAAAAAAGCCTTTCTTTAAGGTTTTTACCTGTAGATGACCCCATTTCGATGCAGAAACATTAAGGCCGACGTGACTTCGGCAGCGTAGAAACGCGAGCGAGGCTCATCGAACTTCCTGGATCTCTGAATCTGGAACATCAAGTCTCCTCCGTTCACATACTCCATCACAAAGAACAAACGGTCCTGCGTGCCACAGAGAGGGAGAGGTGTGAGGCAAAGACAAGAGGACGAGCTATCAGAGCTCTGTGCTTCTGTTGTACTCCTACCCGTGTCTGGAAGCAGCAGTAGAGCTGGGTGAGGTAGGGGTGGCGGCGGGCGAGGGCCAGGATGCGCTTTTCCGTCATGGTGCAGTCAACATCGTCGTCTTGAAGAATTACGTCTTTCTTTAAA